AGGCTGGAGGGCAATGGCACAATCTCGGCTCACTGCAACCTCCGCTTCCTGAGTTCAAGCGATTCTCCTGTCTCAGCCTCCCCAGTAGCTGGGATTACGGGCATGTGCCACCGCACCTGGCTAATTTTTGTATTTTTAGTCGAAATGGGGTTTCACCATGTTGGCTAGGCTGGTCTCGAACTCCTGACCTCAGGTAATCCACCCACCTCAGCCTCCCAAAGTGCTGGGATTACAAGTGTGAGCCACCAAGCCCGGTCCATTTTCCAAATTTTCTACCAAAACATTTATTTTTGTTTTGTTTTGTTTTAAACAGGGTCTTACTCTGATTCCCAGGCTGGAGTGCAGTGGCACAATCTGGGCTCACTGCAACCTCCGCTTTCTGGGCTCAAGCAATCCTCCCACCTCAGTCTCCCAAGTAGCTGGGACTATGGGCTTGTACCACTATGTCCAGCTAATTTTTTATTTTTATTTTTGGTAGAGATAGGGTTTGTATTTTTAGTAGAGACGGGGTTTCACCATGTTGTCCAGGCTGATCTTGAACTCCCGAGCTCAGGCAATCCGCCCATCTCAGCATGTCTCAGCCTCCTAAAGTGCTGGAATTACAGGAGTGAGCCACCATGCCCAGCCCAGAAACATTTATTACTTTTAAGAACAGAAAATAGGCCGGGTGCGGTGGCTCATGCCTGTAATCCCAGCACTTTGGGAGGCTGAGGTAGGTGGGTCACGAGGTCAGGAGATCGTGACCATCTTGGTCAACATGGTGAAACCCCGTCTCTACTAAAATATAAAAAAAAATTAGCTGGGCATGGTGGTGCATGCCTATAGTCCCAGATACCCAGGAGGCTGAGGCAGGGGAATTGCTTGAAACTGGGAGGCAGAGCTTGCAGTGAGCCGAGATAGCGCCACTGCACTCCAGCCTAGTGACAGAGCAAGCCTCCGTCTCAAAAAGAAAAAAAAAGAAGAAGAATAGAAAATATAGATTACCAGAAGGCCCAGAGGATCACAAGCCTGAAAAAAGATTTCTTGCTCATTTATTAGTAAGTCTATATTCAGTCTATATTGGAAACTTTACAATCCTGTTTGACCTGCTATTATCTACGTTTAGTTTGGTATTAAGCAATCTCTTTACAGGACCTCAGCAGCTTCGTCATTTGTATTATCTGTATATGTTTTAGGGCATGAAGGAGGAAGACCGTGGTGGAAAGTGGGTGGGGGTTACGGGGAGGGAGGCTGCAGCTGCTGAACTTCTAAAAATATATTCCTTGTACATGGCGAAAGCATTCATTTCCACTTGCTTAATTTAAGTATGTGACCCTGTCTTCTTGGAATTTACATTTTTTTTTTTTTTTGAGGCGGAGTTTCGCTCTTTCGCCCAGGTTGGAGTGCAGTGGTGTGATCTCGGCTCACTGCAACCTCCACCCCCCAGGTTCAAGTGATTCTCCTGCCTCAGCCTCCTCTGTAGCTAGGATTACAGGTGCCTGCCACCACGCCCAGCTAATTTTTTTTTTTTTTTTGAGACGGAGTTTCGATCGTTGCCCAGGCTGGAGTGCAATGGCACGATCTCGGCTCACCAAAACCTCCACCTCCTGGGTTCAAGCGATTCTCCTGCCTCAGCCTCCCCAGTAGCTGGGATTACAGGCATTCTCCACCACGCCTGGCTAATTTTGTATTTTTGGTAAAGGTGGGGTTTCTCCATGTTGGTCAGGCTCCTCCTGAACTCCTGACTTCAGGTGATCCACCCACCTCGGCCTCCCAAAGTGCTGGGATTACAGGCGTGAGCCACCCAGTCCGGCCACGCCCGGCTAATTTTTGTATTTTTAGTAGAGACAGAGCTTCGCCACGTTCGCCAGGCTGGTCTCGAACCTCTGACCTCAGGTGATCCACCTGCCTTGGCCTCACAAAAAGTGCTGGGATTACAGGCGTGAGCCACCGTGCCCGGCTGGAATTTACATATTTTTAACAACAGATTTCTAGAAAAGAGAGAGATAAGAGTAGAGAAAGAACAAAGACTGCAAAACAAGAAAACAGCCCAAACCAGCTACAAGGACAAATTTCTGAAATTTTCAAGTTCACTGTGCAGTCCTTACCTCAACCGAGGGTGGGTGGCAAGAGTGGACCTTGTTTCCGCAGAACAAATGTTACTTCTCCCTCCCTGTCGCCATCCCTGAGTCACCAACGTCACTGTCCCTGCTTACTGAATGCACTCTGCCATCATGCTCACTCCGGTCCCCTTTAGGCTTAGTCTCTGCCAAGACTGCTGGCTCCAGGCTGCCAGCCACGTGCTGTGGGTGTCCTACAAGTTCTGAGACCGGATCCGAGAACCACACAACACAGAATGACATAGGAATATGAACCCAAAGGATGCAGAGTCCCTAACTCAAACCCAGCCCTCAGGGGCCGGCTGTGTTCCAGGATGCAGGGACAGAGAGATGCAAAGGCAACCCAGGCCACCGTGGCTCCCGGGGTGCACAGCCAGCAGTGGAGGTGGTGTTAGAAAGGTACGTGCTCTAGGCCGGGCGCAGTGGCTCACACCTGTAATCCCAGCACTTTGGGAGGCCAAGGTGCGTGGATCACCTGAGGTCAGGAGTTCAAGACCAGCCTGGCCAACATGGTGGAACCCCATCTCTACTAAAAATACAAAAATTAGCTGGGCAGGGTGGCAGGCGCCTGTAATCCCAGCTACTGGGGAGGCTGAGGCACGAGAATCTCTTGAACTCAGGAGGCAGAGGTTGCAGTGAGCTGAGACCACACCACTGCACTCCAGCCTGGGTGACAGAGCGAGAACTCTGTCTCAAAAAAAAAAGAAAAGAAAAAAAGAAAGGTATATGCTCAGGGGACTCAGAAGAAGGAGCCGTTAGTCTCTGGGTCAGATTCTGACCTGTGGCAAAAGGGCCAGGGAAGAGTCCGTGGCCAGGCAGTGCTCCTGGTGAGGGAGGGCGTGTGAAGCCGGGCAGGCTATGAGAGGCCTGGACTGCCACCCTGAGGAATCCAGACTTTATCCCAGTCAGTGGGTCTGAGTTTCAGATTTCAAGGGCCAGTTTAAGTTCAACCAATCTAGGGGACTTACAATGGCTAATTGATTATTTTGCCAAATAAGGCCAATTAAACCCCAAACCAAAAACTCAACACCAACTACTGCTTGCTATTACCATTCTTTCCTAAAACGGCATTTAACACCAAAACAGTTGGGAGGACACAAACTCAAAACGGAAGACAGTCCTCTCCCCCCACCAAAAGACAGCTGGCAACTGTCTACTGCCACACAGGTGGCCACTACATCGCCCTTGTGGTTCTCATTTTTCCACTGACAAACGGAAGCCTCCTCACTGAATGGGGGTGGGAATCACAGCTGTGGACCAAGAGAGAGAACAGCTCAGACTTGAGAGTTACGCCTGTGTGTGATCCAAGCTGTGACGTGTGTTTTATTCACAGCACCTTGCACTCCAGCTTAGCCAACAGAGCAAGAGTCTGTCTAAAAAAAAAAAAAGTCTCATTGCTTCTCAAACTAAATTTGCCATGGGAGCTTTTCTCCCCGCTAAGGACCCAGCCACATCCTGCTGTGTAGTGGTGCCATACACAAGTGGGCCCCTGTGGTGGGCACCGTGGCTGACACTGTATAAACTTTACTCATTTTGAGTTTTTATGT